GGGGGGGGGAGAGGGGAGGCAGAGCACCCCGTCCCCCACACTTGAACACGACTTAGCAATGTCACACAGCTGAACACTGGACCCGAGCACAAAACGCGACCATGCTTAGCGTAGCCTCCCTTCTATTGCATGGGGGGGTGCCGGGCACGACCTTTCTTGGGCTCGACATCAGGAAAGCAGAAACAAATGAACTGTGCGCAAAACCCGAGCTCAACATGAATTACGGAAAGACCGTGGCTGCGCCACCACGCGTAGCATGGTCTAACAGTGAGTAGAAGATGGAGCATTTGCCAAATTGCCAGTAGCTGCACCTCCCTTTTCAACTTCCCCCAACCCTATAGACTCAATGGGGGTGGGGGAAGATGCAAAGGGAGGCACAGCTGTTTGCAAATGCTCGGTCCTTGTGTTAGCCTGCCCCTCACCGGTGGCCCCAACCCCGCACCCTAGACCACTGGGGCCAACATGCAATTCCTTCATCGCCAGGTAGCCATGCTTGCAGGGGTTCCCTGTATAGCCTTAGGAGTAGCGGTACGTAGTGGAACGTGAATTGAGAGGGGATTTCCCCCATCGGCAATGCCTGCCCACCCCTCGTCACCGTGATGAGGGACTGGTACAGCCTTGCTCTCGCACCACTGCTGTGGTGCCAACCTACCCCCTGGGCTGGGGAGAGATCCGGGTTGGTTGGTGTTCCCCCGTACTACACATACACTAGTGAGAGGATGAGATAGATGAGTACTAGCAAGAAAAACGAGATAGATGAGAGAAGAATATAGCTTTAGAAAAAAAGAAAAAAAGAAAAAGAAGAACCGACAGGTCCGTGGGTGGTAAGGGCCGGACAGGAGTGGTGCCATGTTCATGCTAGGAAGCGTGAACCTGCTAGAAAATAACTGCCAGGATCGTGCTTTTCGGGCATGAATATTACACCCGTTGGGTCTGGTCCTATGGCTGGTGGTTCGTCGCTGCTACCAGTAGGACGGGATCCGTGAGCGACAAGATATGATCGAAGGTAAGGCGTCACGAGGAAACACCAGTGAGGATGTGCCTCGCGCTCACGCCAATACGTATCATATAAATAGCCACGCCGTCGCCATGTCTGGACGTAGAAGGTGTTTGACGACGGAAAGCCGGGTAGCTGGCTCGACGTTCGATGGCTGTCAAGCCAGGTTCGGTTCACGCTACGCTTAGCTGAGAGCTCAGAAGAGTGTGCGTAGCTTCGGCTTTGTAGACGTTCGGGCATTACAAGACATCGAGGAACGAAGGAAGCTCTGTGGAAGGCAGCTATGGAGACAGCCATGGCGACTGGCGTGAGGTACAAAGCAGCGCTTGCACTGGCAATGATATGTGTGTTCGTAGTCGTCGCAGGGGCCGTGGGCCGCAAAACCGAGACGGGCGAACGGCGTCTCGAGTACACTGAACGCCATGAGGTTCTGAAGTCTGAGGGAGGGTCGGTGTCGATGTGGGCAGAGTCGTTCGAGCACATAGCTGACGCAGGTAGAAGGGTTTCGGCGGCGCACCTTACGCTGGAGGAGGATGGCTTCTTGCTTCCTAGCTATTCGTCGGGCCATCACGTGATCTACGTGCTTGAAGGCTCAGCATACGCAGGATTGATGACGCCGTGGGGTATCCCGGCAACGCTTCGGAGACTGAAGAAGGGGGAGATGTTGGTAGTTCCGCATGGCTGGGTGTCGTGGATTTGCAACCATCACCAGGAGGGCGGTCAGAGCACAACTCATCGCCACGAGAGCGAGAGGGAGGGCGGTCAGACGTCCACCTTTAAGGCGTTGGTTGTTACGGATTTCCCAGCACCACTGGCGAGCGAGAAGGGTGGGAAGACTGAGACGGACGGGTGCTATTTCTTGGCGGGAGCCTCGAAGCGGGAGGGCGCAGGGTGCGCAGGGCACGGTGGCGTTCTTCACGGGTTTAGTAAGGACGTGCTCACCCAAGTGTGGGGAGTGGACGAGTCAGATGTGGAGAAACTACTTCATTCGCAGAAGGGGTTGGGGATCGTGAAGGTGAGTAAGACTCAGCATCCGGAGTTGTGGGAGCGGTTCGTGAGTAAACTGTCACACATGGAAATGCTGAGCGACGTATCTAGCTTCGTGGATGGGCTCGCGCACACCAAGCGGCACGGAGGTGACCACCGAGAGCAGGGAAGCGCCGCTTGGTTCTTGGGAGATTTCACCTACAATGTCGAGGCAGCGACTCCTGCGGACCGCAATGAAGGCGGTGAAATTCGGCTCGTTAACAAAGAACTGCTGCCAGCGCTCGGAAAGTTTGGCCTGAGTTTCTCTCTCGCAGTCGGTAGACTCGAGAAGGGCGCAGTGAGGGTCCCAGCATGGTCTGTCAATGCTCACATGATTGTGCACGTGACCAGCGGTAGCGGGCGGATTCAGATCGTCCATCCGGACGGCAGCAACGCTCTGGACACCCACTTGCATGCCGGGTCTGTCGTTGTCATCCCGCGTTTCTATCCGTCGGTGAAGGTCGCCTCGAAGGATGAAGGCCTCGAGTTCGTCGGTGTGATGACGTCTTCGCGGCCGTTTTGGAGCCATCTTGCCGGCCGTACTTCCTTGCTTAGCAACATGCCGGAGCGCGTCGTCGAAGAGGCGTTCAACATTCCCAGTGATCTTGTGAAGAAACTGCGCCACCGGAGGGCGCAGTACTTCGTCATTCTGCCGCCGCCAAGTTATCAGAAAGAGGAGCAGGAGGAGAAGCAGTTGTAGAGGAAGCCGCTCGTCAAATGAGGAGCGCGAAGGACAGATGCAACGGCAAATGAGGACGAAGGAGAGATGTAACGTTAACTTGGCGAAGCATCCGGCAGTAGCGGCAGGTATAGATTTGTGTGTCGTTAGATGTGTATGTCGTTGAGTCACGACACTTGGGACACTCGCAATAAATGCACTCGACGCACTTTGGTCAGCAATCCACCATGTGATTGATTGCGCATGTTATTGACCAAATGATAGGCAACCGGGGCCGTGTATATGGTGATGGCGTAAAAGTGCTAAGACCGTCTATCTTCTTCTTGTATAATAAGTAATGTGAAGAGTGCAATGGTGACGGGCGTGAGAGTGACCAGACGCTCCCTTTTGTATATTAGGTAGTTTAGGAAGTTAGGGGACCGTTCGTCTTGTATATTAGGTAATTTGGGAGGCCGTGATGTCATCCTCTTGGCGGTTGTAGATGAGTGGATGTTTTTGATGCCGTGTACACGTGAATCTGCATCTGGAGTGAGTTGCGAATCCGTGCAGATTGGGCGTTGAAGATGGGTACAAGTAGGATAGTGCACTCCCGGTAGTACCTGTGGTGGTGCGACGGTCAAACGCAGTGTTGGCTTAGCTGTTTTAAGTGCCTAGTAGCTGTGGTGGTGCATCGATCAAACGCAGTGTTTGCGTAGCTGCGAACGAGGCTTTGCCGGCTTTTTAGTGTACAATGCTTGAAGTCGAGTGTACCCTACGGTTGACTCTTGAAGTCGAGTGTACCCGACGGCTGATTCATGAAGTCGAGTGTACCCTACGGTTGACTTCGTCGGTGTATGCTGCTTTTTTTAGCTGTTAGTCGGTTTGTGTGTTGAGTCGTGTCGACTGCCTAGTGTTTGACATGATAGGGAGCCTTGCAGCTGACTTGCTGCTGTGTGACGTGCTTGTCGATGTTTTGCGATCGCGTCTGCTGTGTTGGCAGTGTGGAGCCTACAAAACGACGTGATGATTGGTTAGAGATTTAAGTGATACAGGGAGGGACACATGCTGGGCCCCTGCATGAGTGGGCGGGAAATTTGACTTTGTCGTTTCGTTCTTTTTTTGTTGTGGAGTCGGAGGCGGGTCCGAGTATGACATCAGCCTTTCGATCGGAAGGTACATCGTATTGTGGATCATAACAGGAACCTGCAAAACGACATGATGATTGGTAAGAGATCAAATGATATAGGGAGGGACACATTCTAGCCCCCTCCATGAGTGGGCAGGAAGTGGACTTTGTCTTTTTTTGGATCATAACAGGAACCTACAAAACGACGCGATGTTTGGTAAGAGGTTAAGTGATACAGGGAGGGACACATGCTGGGCCCCTCCATGAGTGGGCGCAGGGCGGGAAATCGACTTTGTCTTTGTTTGTTTTTTTTGTTGTCGTTCAGTCGAAGGCAGGTCCTAGAATGACATCAGCGTTTCGATCATAAAGTTCATCGTTTTGTGGATCATAACAGCTTCCCTTTGAAATTCTGAAGTGTGGTGAAGGAGGATTTCGTGTCGGAGTATAACATCTGTTTCTCTCGTAAGTTTGCTTGTGTTTTGGCACAGAACGGTGTATCATGTGGGGGTTGTGCTGACAAAGAGGATGGGATTAAGCTCCTGCATCTCGATGTATTTTCAACAGAGATGGAGGAGCCAAATATCGCTTCGGAGTATAGCATGTGTGTGTCTCTCGTAATTTTCCTTGTGTTTTGGCAACACGGAATAGTGTATCCTGTGGGGTGAGTTCGCGCTAGCTAAGAGGATGGGATTAAGCTCTCCTGCATTTGGATGTATTTTCAGCAGAGGCAGGAGAGCAGTTCAGTCTCGATTTTCTGTACCTTGCAAAGAACAGGTCGTCGGGATTGTGTCGGAGACAGGAGTACAACATCAGACAGTGTTCTCTCGAAATATTGTGGCACTAATTGTTTGTGAACTTTGTGTATCCTGTGGGGCGACGTCCTGCTAGGTAAGGTGGTTTGATTGAGCCCATGGATCTGGATGTGTTTTCAGCGGAGATGCAGAAAAGCAGTTCAATCTCGATTTCTGCACTTAGCACAAACACTTCCAGATTCAGGTGTTCAATCCGGTCGTCTTTGCTGGTGCCCTTACGTGGTTGGACAGTGAAGAAACGTAGTAGCAAGGACGTGGAGACTCGCTAACTTGGATCAAGTCGGTTCATCCCTATGAGATGGATGTCGCGAGTTCTCGAGTTTGTGTTCCGTTTTGTACATCTTGCGGTAGATGAGCGTTGTTTGAAGGTATCTATCCGCCGAGAAGATGAATTGGGATTGTATCATATGAGTAGTAAGCTGTTGGAACGTGGTGGCGTTTCTGTCCCATTTTAGTGATTCCGCGTCTGAAGTCTGCTGGAGCGGGTGCTGGTGGTTACCATATTTGAGTTTTCAAAGCGGTGTTCAGCATGAAAAGAGAAAAAAAACGTAATATGGGATGGTACCGTGGTAGTGGTTGCGATACGGATTTTGAAAGGGGTGTTCAGTTCGAAGAGGGAAAAGAAAGGCATATGCAATGGAAGATGTTTCCTGAAGGTTATCGAACAGATTACGCTTCTGAAGTCGGCTGTAGGCTGCTGGGGGAAGTGGTGGTTGCAATGGCTCGGGGTTTGGACGCGCGGTGTTCACGATTAGAAAAACAGAAACAGATTACACTTCTCGAGTCTGCGGGAGGAGGAACTACTGTACACCGGACAGCGCTTCAGAAGTTATATGTGAAACAGACGACTTGGAAAACGGGCCACGAATTGCTGAGGGCTTAGCAATTTACGGTGTGTTGGTAAATATTCCGCTGGCTTGTTGAAATTTGATTGGTTGCACATCGCTGGTCTGTGTTATGATTGGCATGGAATGTGGGATGATACAGCATGCCCGAAGCCTTCTGAAGAGGAGAAGAGGAACAGAACTGTGAAGTTCTTCGAGTTTAGCGAGCCAGAAGAGCAGAGCGAATAGCAGACTGGTTTATCGGGCCAGAAGAGCAGAGCGAATAGCAGATTGGCTGCAGAAAATGAAGTACCATAGGTAGTTTGCTACTAACTCTTCCGCTGAATCCTATGTGTTTTTCCTAATGTGTTTTTGCGATCCCATTGTTAAATTGATCAGGACAGAAGAGTACACTTTATCGATTTTTAGCCGAAAGACCGAGAAAGCTAGCGGCCGACTTTTCAATCCAAATCTGGTGTGAAGTGTAGATCACTTTGACATTTGCAGGAGGATCATTGTCACGGATATTATTTCTTACCGGGCTTCCCTGGGTAAAGGGATCCATTCCAGCTATCGAAGCGAAACATGAGTTGGGAAATTTTGTATGCCACTGATGTCAGTGCTGCCCAACTGCAGCTCTGACCATTGTCAGCACAACTATGTGTCTGGTCTGTGACCATTGAAAGGATTGCCACACTTTTCTCAGATGACTTGCATACGTAAAATTTGATAAAAATGTTAACTCGGGGCACGGCTCCGTATCCAGACAAGAAACAAAAATATTGCGGCCTTACAATTTGGCATATGGACTGCACACACACAGACACACACACACACACACACACACACACAGAGTGCACACACACACACAGTGTCACAGAGAGAGAGAGAGAGAGAGGCAAAATACGGGGACGACTTGTGGCTAGGGAGAGAGAGAGAGAGAGAGAGAGAGAGAGAGAGAGAGAGAGAGAGAGAATACGGGAATGACTCGTGGCTAAAGAGGGCAGGCAGGCAGACCCAGACAGGCAGACGGACAGACAGTCTGAGACAGAGAGATATCTAGAAATCTGGTGAGAAGGATGGAGATAAGACTGATGGCATTCCATCAAGAACTTCGTTACTTTCCATACATATATTTTTTGTATTTTTTTTTTTTTTGTCACACACCAACCCCCCACCCCCCCCAATTTTTTTTATTTTTTTTTAAGTGGGTTCCGGAGGGGTATGCCATGCGCAGGTGATGCGTGCGCCCCGTTTTTGGGCGGGCGGCCCCGTCTGCACGTGGCACGGTCACAAAGTTGCACGGCCACGCGCAGACGCAAAGTTGCTCGGCCGTGGGGTTGCGGCCGACCTCCTCGGCCACGGATGAGGCTGCAGGATCCGCAGCCGTGGGGTCACATAGCTTTTATAAATTCAAGAAAATACATTTTCGAATCTTTTATAGATTCAAAAAGAAAAGATTCACGACTGATCTTTTCTTCGTGAATCGGTGAGAATCCACATATGTTGTTTTGAGAACATTACAACAGAAAAGTAGTCCACACAAACGACACAGAATTTTTTGCGGCATTGCGACTTCTGTTCTCTGTTTTCTTTGTTTTCTGTGTTTTCGTTTTTTGCTCAGTTGCTTGTTCCCATCTCCATGACTCACGAGTGGCATGAGGCACGAAAACATGCGAGCATAGCACTCTCATCGTCTTTTCTTCTACGATCAGGATGGAATCGGTGATATCAGTAATTAGATGTGCGTTCTATTACAGCTGCATCGAGCACTGCACGAATCTATACGAGTCAATACGACAACCCTGTCAGAAATCAATATTCTTGTTTTAGAGCACACACTTGGAGATAGGATAATATGTTTATATTGCGGTTCTCATGAATGGCAATATGAAAAAGAACGAACCACTATTTGTTTTAGCAAAGGTAAAGTGCACCCTCGACTCTGTACGTATCCTACCGCTAATATTTCACCATTGCGGATCACTGAACTTTGGGAACAGGATAATGTGGAAGTTTGCCTTCTACGATCACACTCGCGAATGCTAAACAACTCGAGCTTTCTCGCATCACAAAGTGTCAAAGAACTAAAATTGCCCACACATGGATGGGCGGGCATGCTTCGTATTCAAGGCCAACTCCAGCACAGGCTTGGTCCATCGATTGTTAAGCCAGGCGAAATACCTGCATTTGCTCAGATTATATGTCTACGATCCTCAGGATGACGCTAATGCCACTATCCTTCGACTCCAGCGTGTAAATATCCCTGAAGATATGCCTCTCGCAACTGTTGTCGCCCTACACAGATTATTACACAAAATGCACAATTTTTGTTGCAGCCCAACCGCTATGTGCACGATTTTATCACAATATCGGAGCGCCCGGAAGAAATATTTTATACATACCAAATAGTTATCAACCCGCATGTGCGTCCTCCGAATGAAAATATCCGCCGGTTCGATAGACGTGAGGGGTTGCTCAAGGTCACACTCGGCACAAATGAAATGCAGACCATCCTGCTCTTCCACTCCAAATGAAACCTTTATAACAAGTTTATATAAAGAAATGATTGATAGTTTCATATATAATGCTACACAAAAACGAAGTGGCTCCCTTGAAAAAGACAGTCACACACCGGTCGTATGCACATTGTTCACCCGCGCGAATTCGTTCGACCTCATAATACTCTTAAATTGTTCTCATTCACGAGGGACACGAAATTTAGCAGATTTACACACCGTAAGCAACTTTACATACCCCACCTTCCATGCTGCATATCAAGCAGTGGGCGGCAATTTGGGCCTCCTCAACAATGATACACGATTCTATGTGGTGTCCTTGATGATGCTGGCTTAACATCATCATCATCAACCATCCATTATTTGTTTGCTGATATCGTGCAAACCTGCTGCCCCCGTGATCACCAAACGAGATTAAACAGGTCAACCGTCAGTCCGTCACCGCTTCGCAGCGGTGAAAGTCAAGTGACTCAAGTCTGAACGCATTCCTCTTGAACTGCTGAAAGTAATTGTTCTTCTTGACATTGAACAACGAATTCAAATTTCAAAAAGAAGGCAAACAACTCAGCGATGCTGGTTTAACAGCTCCAATCCATAATGAACGCGATCTTGCAAACAACCTCGAGGCAGCCCATCGAAATACACTATACCCAAGCGAACTAGAAAACGGATTATGATATGATAAACACTCTCTTCAACAGAGCCTCGAAAGAGATGTGGCCCGCCAGCGACTATCGCAACATGCAATTTATCATGACTCATGAGGTTGTCACTGTCATCCAAAATGGTTGTTCCCGTTGTGTCTTTCTTGATGCGGTAGTAGGTGCGGGTAAAACCTTTTGCCTCAATGCGATACTCACACATATTCGCTTAGAGAACGGTAGTGTTCTTGCATCCAGTGGCGTGACAGAACTTGATGGGGGCCGTACATTCCACTCACGATTCAAAGCCCCGCTCGCACCAACGGTCCAACGGCCACTTCTACATTTGACATCCCAAAACAATCAGTATTCGAATCCTCATTGTATGGGATGATCGATGTTACACAGAGAACACTTGGAAGCTTTGGACCACACTCTTCCTGATTTGTGTCAGTCTGATCTTCCGTTTGGCAGCAAAATGACCGTTCTTGCTGGCGATTACCGTCAAATTCTCCCTGTCATTACGAAACGAACACGGGAACAAACAGTCGTTGCGTGCATGAAATCCTGTACTATTTGGCAACACTTTGTTCAATGGCGCCTCACAAAAAATATGAGAGCCTTGAAAATACTCCAAAAGCAGGGCGACATGTGGAATGGATTCTTGCACTCGGCAATGGCACAATCGCTCCACCTCAAGCAGCAGACGCTGATACGGTTGCACCTCATCCTCTGCCCGAAGAATAAACCAGCAGCCACAATCAACGACATAATTCTCACCACCGTTCCTGGCCAAGAACTTCACCCCCTCGGTGCCAACAGACTCTTGGACGACCAAGAACAACCTGACATTCCAATAGAAACACTCAATGCAGTAGATGTACCGTCTCTCCCGCCACACGATCTTAAAATGGAAACTGCTATGCCACGTTGACTGGTTCTTTTTAATTTTAAGTGGATCATTGGACATGCACAATTTCATTTTTATTTGTTTTTTTAATTTGGACCATCTCTCGATTTATGTGTGTCATCCTTGCGCAGGGGCCGTGCTAATCTTCTCCGTATCGCTCCAATTTTAATAGATGTCCTGGAGCACAGACATGTACAATTCAACATTTTCCATTGTATGTTTGTTTGACAATGTTTGTTGATACTCAGGTCATAGAGCCTGTCAGATACCCGACACCAAAAGTCTGGAAGGCTCAGTTGCTATATAGCTAGTCCGGTTCCCAACAGAAGGGTCTGGAAAGTCCGAGTCCACAAAAATCGCAGCAAGTCCCAAGAAAGTCCGGGACGCTTCCGGACTGACAAGATGATTGCAACAGACAGGCCACGGCTGACCTGTACCTGTCTGAGCCCAGCCAAGACAAGTCCAATTGGCAATTCCTATATTTAGCTGCTAGCCTGCTACAGTGCAGCAGCGGATACAGTTGTTCATTCGCAAAGTTGCGGAAGCGCTGCTGCTGCTTGTGTGACCAAACGACTTGGGCAAGACAACTTGAAGAAGAAGGGAGCGTCAGCAACAGCCATAGCTAGGGTAGTGATAGGTAGGCAGGGCGGCCATAGCCACCGAGGTTGGAGTCAAGACAACGCTCAAAGAAGGCAGCGTCGACAACAGCCATAGCAAGGGTAGTGATAGGGGAGCAGGGCAGCGTTTCCCCGGATCACCATGGCCAACTTTAGTGTGTGTTCAACCTGTAGGTCTCACATTAATAGCAGGTCACTCCGTGATAAAACAGTTCAGTCATGCAGGCTTGACCATTATGCTCTACAGCTGCGCAAAGCGCTAGCTTGAGCCTGTGAGATTGAGTGATATGAGACCACAGAGAGAGAGAGAGAGAGAGAGAGAGAGAGAGAGAGAGAGAGAGAGAGAGAGAGAGAGAGAGAGAGAGAGAGAGAACAGAAAGTAGACAGTACCATACGTGGTTCGAGTCATAAACTGTGTGAGCGGCACAGACCGCAGGAGATATGAACTCTTTCTTTGTATAATAAAGAAATCTTATGTATCAAACTCCGCGTGATTCGCTAGCGGTTCCAAGTGTGAACCCT